TACATACATGAATGACTAAAGAGACCAAATCAAGTACCATGTGGTAGAACTAATATGGCCAGAAGTCATGAAAGTCACCTAATTTTCACTAATAAAACTACTATAACATTTGTTTTTTCCATGCCAAAATAATTAGCATTGTATGAGTATTATGTGTAATATCTGAAAGACCTCTGTTACTGGCACTAGACATGACAATCATGCCATAATATTAGTTTACAGATAGTATCATAGTACAAAATCTTCTATTTAGGTCTCTCCACCAAATTTGTCTTAGTTTGCTGTTTGGCATTAGTTATTGAGACTGGAAGTCGGCAGGATGTAGAATTTGCTCAAGTCTACTCAACTTAGGAGTTTTACCCTATATTTAACTCCATGATAAAGAAAAGGTTGATGATGATTGCATGATTGCTTAATTATAAAGCAGTTGAAGGTTCTTATCTTGATAAAACCTTATTCTTAATCTACCAACATGGGTCCATTTAGAGAAGTTATAAGTCAGAAATTGTAATATTTGCTGATTAAACATTTGAATCATGTGTACAGCTAAGAGAGCCTCTGAATCATCTCTACAAAAGAATTGTAACTGGTTCAGATGAACTTGACCAGATAAAATCTCCATTACGAAGTTGTATAATTCAAATACTACCTCTGGATTTGCAAGTCTCCTACCTTTGGAGAGGATGGGGTCCCCATACAATGTGTCATGGGGAAGTGCCACAACAATCATGAAAAATGAATCCAAAATTGACATTCATCATATGTTATTTCACAAAGAGAAATTATTAGAACCCTTTCAGAAAAGCTGTGATGCTACAAATGACACAGGGTTCCTGATACATATGTATAATTATAGCACTGGCAGGTGGAAGTAAGATTATTTGCAAAAGGTCACCTGGCATTTCTCCTTTGTGCTTCCGAAGGCACCGTTGCTTTATAGCGTGTCTTTGTATCCACTAAGAAGGTGCAAACAGTATCTTCATCTCTTGACAATCTAATTTCATCAATCACTCCCACCATCCATGTATCTTCAATAATCCCTACTCTGAAATAATATAATGTCAATACCATCCATCAGAAATGTGATTACATTCTTAGATTTATAAAACATAAATGGACCCAAAGGCCATGCGAGAGTGACCTATATATGCATTTATGTGCTAATAAAGTGGAAAGATTGTCCATATTATCAAATGAATGAATCCTCCATGCATCTACCTAAGATTAATCATGACAATGGAGAACTTCCAACTCTTGTGAAGGGAATTTATTATCCTTACAACTGTAGCTAGATTGTTGTTCTTTCAGATGATCTCCATAAATATTTTTTTACGTCTCCTGCTATCTTACTCGGGTCCTTATGAAGTTTAAGGCATTGAATCTTTTTTGCACATCTTGTCACCATAATAGAAATTTTGGTTTCCAAAAGCAGATATCCCCAAGCTTCAAGCGATGTCTCACTTCTGCATCTCCCGCTTTTAGAAAACATCTACGAAAATACATCTCAACTAATCCATTAATTTGTTGCATAAGATATAAAGAATACTTGGCCATACAACTATCTGAAGCAAAATGCCACATCTCATTTACAAGAAAGAAAAGAACCTAGTCACATCTAACTTTGAGAAACCCACCTCTAAATACAAGGATATCAAATAAAGAATTTCATGTTGAAGATTTTCTTCCAAGTGAAAGATCTGATGTTCAAGCAATCGAGAATTTCATGGTAAAGTTGTGCCATGCCATGATGATCTTAAATTACACCAATGAAAAGCATGTATATCGAAAAGAAAAAAACAAAAAGAGAAAAGGTTACCAAAATCATGAGAAGAGAGACATAATTATCCTGATCTACTCAATGTTACACCCCCAAATTAGCTTTAAGAAGAAGGCATAGACATACACAGGAAGCTCACGAGTTAAGCCTTCAAATAATAGTTGGTGTGCTCCCACAATGAAGTTCATCAATTGTATCACCCAGTATTCTTCGACAGACTCAGTACGAATTTCTACCTTCTCCACAACCTGTTTTCAAGTGAAAGATATTTCAATTGCCTACCACCTAAAAAGACAGAAGAAGAATGAGAAAGTGATAGAAAGTTGAATGTTAGATTTATCACCAAATTGGAAATCAATTTACAGAACTTAATAGTATGAGAATAGAAGGGGTGCTATAATATTTTGATTTTTGATAGACCATTTTCCCTCTTGATCAAGATAACCTAAGGAACTTTCTCAGTTTCTCATGTTAAAGCTTTTAGCACATTGGTGTTCCAAGGACTATGAAAATGCATAATCTAATTTCTCAATTTAATTCTGTATGCATAGGTTATCATCATAAACATGTGTGTGTGGTATGCATATTAGGATATACGCCTCTACATCATTGCAACAAGAAATCAGACATGGCTTCTCGAGATTAGCAATCAGCATCATTATACATGATCCACTATATAAAAGGGAGACTAGAAGTTACACAACCATAAATAATTTTGCATCTTAGTCTCCGTTGATTGACTCACCTCCTTTTCGAGTTGGCTATGGCGATCTGAGCCAGCTTTCATAGCTACAGTTCTTTTTGGTTTTCCATGGGTAAGGGCAAACTCCATTTGCTTCTCACACCATTCCTAGCATTGACGGGTCTTCAAATGAGATCATAAAACAACATAAACATATCGGATGAGAGGGACATTAAATCCGTAATCAGCAATAGAATATGGTTTCAGTTTCTCATCTTAGTTGTTAAGATGACACTAAATATCCCAATTTTTATTAATCCTGCGACCCAAAGTAGCTGAACAACTGCTACAAAAGCCGTCTTACGAAAGATAGGGGACAAAACGAATCTTTGTCTACAGCATGGATAAAAGCAATAAACCTACCGTGCCGATGATGTCAGTGACCGAAAGCCCCCTCCTAGACCGAAATCGACGAAGAAGGGAGGATCTTGGCGGGACGAAATCCTCGATATTCGGCGTCGTGGCCAAGGATTGAGGCCGGCAGGAGTGAGAGAGGCCCGAAGGCAGCGGGGAGAGGAGGGCGAAGCGAGAGGCAGAAGAGCAGGCGGAGGAGAAGAAGGGGGAGGGGGAAGAGGAAAGGACGGAACGGGTAGAGGCGAGGGCGGCTTCGAGGAACGCCATCTCTTCTTCGCTCACGATCTCCACCGGGACGTACACGTCGTCCTTGGCTGTCGCGGGAACGGCGATACCAGTGACGTTTAAGCTGGGGGAGGATGAACTCGACGGAGCGGCGGAAGTGCTCATATCTCCGTCCGGGTAGCGCGGATCCCCGAACTGGTCTGTAGATGGGGACGGTTCAGTTCAAATGGGTCGGAGAAGAATAAGCTTATCACGACCGTCAGATCTATACGATCGACGGTGCTCATGTCCATTGTTATAAATAATATATCTTCAAGATTCGTGATATCATAATGCATCCCTGCTCTCCACACCAAACCACGACTAGCAGTGCGGGCCGTTCGTTTTGCCTGATCCAGATCGACGGACCCGACACGGCAATACACTAGCCGTCGGATGGTGGAAGCGGACGGCGGAGAAGGCGCCATACGCAAACCGGGGAAGGGCGGTGGCTCTAATTAATTGATGGGCCCCTGCGATTGATCCGACTTCTCAACCTCCTAAAGTTTCTTGACTCAACTGATTCAGAAAACAGAAGCGTACAATCAAAGAAAGCATATGATCGACTTGATTCGGACTCGGTTAGACCAGCCAAGATTGGACGCAATCAATCTGAGTTGATTTCAATTGGTCAAGATCAGGTCCGCAGCACCACCAAATGCAAACAAGTTGGGTTCATGGGCTTCTCGCCTTGCCCAAAGTTGGCCCGCGACATAAAAGCCCACCGTTGGATGTTGATCGAGAGTCGATCTGGATTTCGAATTTGGCATGACAGGCTTGCAGATCCTTGCAATCGATGGTAGGTTTGATTGGCTCTGTCGTGTTCGTAAGGCTAATAATGGTCTTGATAGTGAAGCGAGTAAAAGACAAGCAAAAACATGTGATGTGTTGTTGATGAACATACGTGGGGATCCTTTATCACTTATGGAGTATTAAATTAGTGCAGAAACGCATAGTTTTGCTTCATTTATATCACGTAATGTTACTACTATTCACAGTTTGTATTGGATATAAAGTTAAGTGAACCAAACGGCTTTTGGGAGAGACAAGTGGTTGACGTGAACGTGCAAACCTACTCGCTGCCCCCACTACCACGCCATCTCCCTTTCTTTGCCTCTCCCATAGACTTACCAACGACCATCCTATTCCTTCTTATCTCTCCAGCCCCAACCAAAAGGTCGTCATCACACCACCGTGGTCGTGTAAAGAGGTCACCTCCACCCCACTAATCCTCATCATCAACCCACCTACTCCGACTCAGCATCTACATAGAATACTTCCACGCACCACTCCGATGTGACCCCTCAATCGTCGCTCTCGATCAATCACATCAGCGCAACGCTGATCCTACGGCGAGAACGACCCATCACCGAACGTAGTTGTCCTCGCGTGACCGATGCCGCTCTAGATTGAACGGTTGTTAGCACCGTCATTGGTTGGTGATAAACGCTGTCTCGTGTTCCATCAACGGTACGCTTCTCAACGCGCCTCCACCACCCGGAATCCTATTTTTATTCCGCACGTCCTTCCCGTCGCTTGCTGCCCCTCCCCTGATCCCAGACACGAACTACGAGGTTGTCGTCTCACAACGCGACACGTACGCCGAGGGAGGTGGAACCCAGCCTTCGACGTGCCTCCACTGGGCGCACGGGATCCGTGAGGAGCCGACCGGCAAAACCGGCAACCGCAGGTGGGCCACCCGCCCGGCACATGCCTAAAGCGTAACCGGTACGCGCATGGAGCTGACCGAAGTCCGACGTGGACCGATCTTGACCGTCGTCGCCGGCCCGTTCCACGTGTCGCCGCCGTCCAATTCTTGCCCCCAAGTGGCGGCTCTCAGATCTTCCCCTGCCCTTTCTTTCCCACTCCGAGACATTAGTGGTGGCATCAAACGAGCGATCGAGGATAAGAGAGAGAAAGGGAAAGAGTTAGAAGAAGAAGAAGACCGCTTGCCATCAATGGCGGTTGGCGCCCTCGGCCACCGGGATATCGGTGTGGCCCTGAGATACTCCCCGTAAAATCTTGTCCGTCCATCCGCCGCTTCGCGATCTTGCTTCAAAACCACGCCACTCTTTCACTCCCTGTCTAGTCCCCACGAGTGAGGAAAATTTGGGGGCAGCGGCGATGGCGTCGGCGCGCGGCGGCGGCGGTGGGATGACATGGCAGGATGAACTGGCCAGCCTGGTGGAGGACACCGGAATCAGGTACGGCGCCGGCGTCCCGGAGGCCGACGAGGAGGAGCGGGACGCGAGGGATCTGGGCGGGAGGGTTTTCGAGAAGGGATATTACGGCGTATACGAGGAGGGGACGGGGGCTGCGGCCGAGGAGAGCTTGAAGGAGCAGTTGACGGGGTTCGTGATGGCCACGGGGGAGATGCTGCGGGAGCTCGGTCATGGGTGCTGGGATATCGCGCAGCAGAGCCTGGAGGGAGTGGAGGAGACCTACGTCGGGAAGAAGGTCAAGGGGCATTGGACTGTGGCGTCGCAGCGGCTTGAGTTCTTGAACGAGTACCTGCCGGAGGATCGGGATCCGGTGCATGCTTGGTCCGTCATCGTCGGGGTCTTTCTTCTCGCTCTTCTCGGTAACAATTTCTAGTGTTCTTGATGATCTTGTATGCATTTTGGCGAGACTGGTTTGATTTTACTAGGATCTTAAGGAATTATACTAAGAACACCAAGAAACTTCATGCATTCAATTCACAATTACTTGCTGTGTTAGAAAAAAGGTATTCTATTATCCATAGAACAAATTCTGCATAAAGGACCATTGCAGATAGTTCACTTTTAGATGTGTACATGGGCATAAGGACTAGAATTTCTCATGTATGTTGAACTTGGTTTTGTAATTTTGTTGGCCAATAATGTTATTTCCTCCCATTTTTCTGATACATATTCGTCTTTTAGTTTGTATTGATGTCTGTCATCTGTAAACTTATTATTGTACAATAGAATTTGAAATTGTTTCTTCCAAGTTTCCCTAACTTGTTACCCTCCTGGACTCTCTCGGAAAGTTTTGGTTAAAGATTGTATTTTTCCCTTATGCTAATTTTTTCACTATTATATCATAATTATCTAACCCAAACCTGGTCAGTCCTGTCCGGATAACTAATCTTTAATTTCATCAGATTATAAAGTTTGTCTTGCTGCGTGACTTTTGCAATCAAAAAATTTGTTTGGTGTTCAATTAGTATCATGTAATTCCTCTTTTTTAAGGCAAGTATCTAATACCTGTATCAAATTTCCATTTTTTAATTTTAAAATTGTGTTCGTACCTGTCGTCTCCAACATTCTACAACCTTTCTGTGTATATTGTTTCCTCTTTTATCTTGGTAAAGATTTCAAGGTGGCAACCAGCGCCTGATTTGGCCTACAACCAGCCTCAAGAATTAATACACAACATATATGGACAAGAATGTGGGTTTAAACTCCATGGAATTCTTGTAATTCTTTTTCAAAATGGGTTTGTTTCAAGCTTGAAAGATTAAAAAAATTACAATTAATTCATTCCATACAATATTTGCTAGCTAGTACAACTCTCATTTCAATGATCATTATGATACTGTCTTTAATAAAACATTATGTGTCATTGACTGACATCATCAGTAAAAATCTGTGCATATAAGTTCCATTTGGTCCATTTAATATACAGTTTCTTAATATTTGTTTATCCATATAACATGTTTTCTTTATTCTGACCAAAAATCCTGTGCAGTACTAAGTGTAAATAGTGGAAATGAGACTTCTGTTGAACTGCCAAGGAAGCTGTATATAAGTCCTCCAGGTGCTAGCCGCATCCAACTTCTAGATGGTAGATATGTTGCGTATCAAGAAAAGGGAGTTCCAGCTGAAAGTGCTAGATTCTGCATGATTGCACCGCATTCTTTTCTTTCTTCTCGTTTTGCAGGTGCAACCTGTTCCTCCTTTCTTCCGTTTCATAGATAATGTAATTAACCCTCAAACATGCCTTGTTTTTCAATTTATAAACTAACTTGTCTTTCTATACTTATATAGGAATACCTGGCGTTAAAGAGTCTCTCTTAGAGGAATTTGGTGTTCGATTGGTTACTTATGATCTTCCAGGTTTTGGTGAAAGTGATCCTCATCTCAGTAGGAATCTCAACTCATCAGCTATGGATATGCTTCATTTGGCGAATGCTCTTGGTGTTACAGACAAATTCTGGGTAGTGGGTTATTCTGGTGGAGCCATGCATGCATGGGCAGCTGTTCGTTATATTCCTGACAGACTAGCAGGTACCTTTTGTTTGTATAGTTCTTGCACAGTTTTTACATTACCCTTTCACATCTGTAGATGCTAAAGTTTTCCAGGGCTGTTACTTCTGTGACTGTGACTGCAAATCAATATTGAATGTTTCTGATCTAATTTGAGATGTAATGTATAAACAGGTTGTTTCTTCTTAGTGCTTCATGTGTTTTATTATTCCCTTTAAGATGAGAGCTGTAGTTAGTTTTTAGTACATAGACCTAGCTTTCTGAAACTGTAGCAAATACCACGAGTATCACTTGAATTATTTGTTCTTTTGTGATTTGGGATGAATAATGATCCGTATATTGGAACTTGTTGTTCCCTTTTTATTAAGACTTGTTGGTCCAGGGGAGTTTTAGATATTGCTCTCTGATATCCAGCAGCTAACGGATCCATTTGGGTAAGTCAATCTCTTGCTTGATGGAAACATAACACCAGTTTAAGTGGATTCATGTTAAATTGCTAGTCATGTCCGTGCAGACTCCTTGATGTCTAATGATGCTCTTTTGCCAACATCAAATTAATGGCAGAAGGCTTCGGATGATAATGCTATGCGATTACAAATTATTATATGCTGGATGATCAGCAAAAGGTTTGTGAAGAGCTTAAGACCATGGCAGAGAATATTTGGGAATTTCAAACACTAGTTCAATCAAGAATATGTTCTGTCAACGATCCTTTATTTCATAATATGTTAGGTTAGCAAGTGCTGGATGAAGCATTGCTTTTATGTTCTATAGATGACTTTGACAAATTGTGAAGTCAGACCTAATTGTAATGGAGGAACAATTTCCATCCCAGCAATTGATTGCAGAGAATCTTGGGAGAGGAATGGTCTTCAGGATGGAACTAAGGTAGTAATACCAAGGGCCAGTGTTAAGATTCTATGGCATGTCTGACTGAGACCATTATGAAAACTGTCTTATTGTGACCACTAAAGTTAAAAAAGGAAATTCTGTTATAAAGCAAAAAGACAGTTTATAATGTTGGCAGGTATACAGCTCCCAGGATTTTAGATTGAATATTCATATATGCTACTTGATCATTCCTTTAAGCCATGTATGATACTTGTTCACAGGATTTGAGACTGATTGATCATATATAATCACATAGTTAATTTAAGCCAGAAATCTTAATGATGTAGCATTGCCTCCATCCAGAATTTCTTGTTCATTCCTTTAATAATGGATATGTAGTAGGTGTTTGTTAATAATTATGCTATCAAATCACGGAATTGACTTCTTTGTTTGTAGGAATGATCTTTTGGTTTGATATAAAATATCAAAGAAAGAGGAAGCCCCTAATCTGAAAAGATGATGCAATATTTACTCTGTCTGTTGGTTTACTTCACTCCTTGGCTGTCTCATATTTGTGATTTCAGGTGTAGCGTTGTTTGCTCCAATGGCCAATCCGTATGACTCCAGCCTGAACAAGGAGGAAATTCATAAAATTTGGGATAAGTGGACTATGAAAAGGAAGTTAATGTTTGTTTTGGCTCGGAGGATTCCCTCTCTTCTTTCATATTTTTATCACAAAAGTTTTTTGTCTGGAGAATATGGTCAGCCTGAGAAGTGGTTGTCATTGTCACTGGGTAAGAAGGTATGCCTAGTTTTATTTATAGTTTTTCTAAAAAAATTTCCCACTAACTAGTTGTTTTTTCTGAAATTTGATAGAATTTCTGGAAGCTTAATGTTACAATACATCTCATAATTTTCTATTATTATCTTATCAAATGTTATTTGCAGAAAAAAAATCTTCTTATTTGTCAAGTCAAAAAAATCTGATTTTGTCATCACAATTTCCATGTCAATATGATCATTTCTGGACTTTTTCAAATGGCGCCTTTATTCTTAGAGACCTCAGCCAGTGCTTTTTTGTTGATCTTTAAATGTTTTTGTATTCGCAACATTCTAGCATGTTTTGAAAATTCTAGTTTCTGTTAGCTTTGCTGTGGGCAGGTGCATAGCATTCCATATTCAACAGCAACAACTACTGCTACAAAAACAAGCCAGAATGTCCCAACTATTCTGTAAACCAATAACCAAATTCCTCAGGGAACTGGTAGTATGATGTGACAGTTTGGTTTTACAACTACATTACTGTTTCATGCTCGGACATTTTGTATCATTTTCTTCATCTCATGTTCCTGTTTTGACTTCTATTGTTTGTCATCTACAATTTTATCAATGAAGTACCTGACAATCTTGTAAACTGAATCAAATAGTTAAAATTTTGAATTTGTTGAAGGGGGTGCTCACATGCTTTGTTATTTTTTTATGAGTCTTTACCCATTTCTTTCATTTGATATCTATGGTCTGTATTATGCATCTAGGATAAATCTTTATTGGAAGAGCCAACTTTTAGGGAATTCTGGGAGAAGGATGTGAGTGAATCTGTCCGTCAAGGAAATCCCAAACCATTCATTGAGGAAGCTGTACTTCAAGTATCAAACTGGGGCTTCAGTTTGGCTGATCTACAAGTGCAGAGGCAGCATCAGGGAAAAGGCCTCCTCTCATGGCTCAAGTCACTATATAGTCAGGCTGAACACGAGTGGGCAGGCTTTCCTGGCCCTATACACATCTGGCAGGTCTGTGTTTTCTTCTCTTTTTCACATTAGGAATCAGGTGCATTTGTTAGCTTGCGAGCGATACTTATCCTGCTTAACATCCGACGAACCTTTTTTACTCAACATGAGGTCGATATGCAGTCACGTTCAAAGCTCTTAGAATTTTTTATACAATTTGCATCCAGTCCACTTTCATCATTGCTTGAAAAGTTTTCATATTTCTGCATACTTAAAATGGTCATGCTGCATATTTGTCCTCTCCTAAATGTTGGAGTTATAACCAGGGGATGGATGACAATGTGGTGCCACCATCGATGACTGATTTTGCTCGACGGATGATTCCAGGAGCAACATTGCACAGGTTGCTTGGTGAAGGACACTTGTCGTATTTCTGCTTTTGTGATGACTGCCACAGGCAAATATTCTCTGCGCTTTTTGGAACTCCTCAAGGCCCTCTCATGATTGAACCAGAGGTCGATCAGTCACTGACTGAAGAATACATCGACGAAGAAGAAACGACATTGCATAATTCTACCGAACAAGAGTAGAGCATCTCTTCTTTTTTTTCTTTACCTCTCTTTTTCCCTTTTTAGCTGGGGGGAGGAGGGGACTTAAATAGTTTTGGGTGGTACAGCAGTGTTCTTTCTCTCTCTCTAGAACTCCAAGGTAAGGTTACAGTTTCTATTTTTTTGGGGAGGTATACACGGAGTAGCTGGGCTAATTTTCCTGGGAACAACAGTCTTCAATTCACTCATTGCAGCATCTGATCCTTGAAGCTTGGCGGTAATCATCTCGTCCAAGGCTCTTAGCTATTTACTTATTTGCATCGGTTGCAATTGCAATTGCTACACATGTACCCTGCATTTCACAATCTGATTGATATATGAAAAAGTATTTTGTGATCGCTGTACCTACTTCATCTTCCACCTACGTTTATGTCCGTCTCGGTGGTGATATTATATCCACAGGTTGTAGTATCAAAAAAATGCTTCGTAAATGGTGGATGAGACCTGCGTGATATACAACTTGGGGATGCTTTATTGTTTTTTTTTTATATTAAAAATTGTATATATTCATTCATTGAGGGTTATTGATTTTGGAGATAAAATTGTATCAAATTATAGGAATCAAAACTTGGTCCAAATAGGCTATTGAACCGAATAAAAGCCCCATCAACCTACTTACCGACTGCTACGCCTCAGGTGTCGTCGTGAGTATTATGCTTGATTTATCCATCCTGTTAGCTATAGGTTGATCGGGCTAACCTTGCAAGAATTCGTCTCATCCATGGTTAGGTTTGAGATTGTTTTTTCTTCGACATGCTTGACTTGGGCTAATCAGATGTTGGGTGCATTGACATCTCTTGTATGTTTGTGTTAGTAGCTAAAATGTATGTGTATACTTGGTACGGTGGTAAAGGAATTATCTTTGACACCAAAACATCGTCTTGATCTCGAATTGCATCATGCGCCCCCTCCATGTTGCTCGACTTAGCTACGTCATATAGGGGCTGCTCAACATGAGCCTCGTTGGATGAGATCAGAAGGAGCTCAACCTTGGGCATGCTTGCAGTAACTCAACCTACTAAGATCGAGAGACAGCATTGGATAAGCTATGATAGAGGAGGTACCTCTTGATGAGGTCAGGCCCCATGCTTGTTTAAGCTATTAGACCGACGTGCGTTTGTCAGGCTTCTTATTCTGATCTATGCAGCAACCAACTTGCGTTTAACCTTAGAATGTTAGACGGCTAAGCACCAAAACATGGCTGACTTAAAGATATAACCATTTTGAAAACATGACTATTTTGAAAGATCTGATATAAGTGATTATTTTAAGAAAACGATCATCTCGAAGGACTTAATCGATTTAAGTGTGCGATTATCTTATGTTTTTATCTTGATGATGCAACCAGCTTCAGAGCAATAATCTTGAGAAAAAAATCATCTTGAATAATGTGACCGACTTAAGGGATCGATCGTTTTGAGGAAGTAGTCAAGTTAGAGTGAAATGTAGCCTTAGCTATACTCTTATAACCCTCTTAGCTAGACATTTATAACCCTCGTTGAAATGACTTGACTTGACAAGATGACAAGGGTTTAAGAAGATTGTTAATCTATGTGCCACTTCTTAGCATTGTTCTTTTTTCATCCTAGTAGAAACATAAATAGCTTGAAATTGAATGAGCGGGTGCAGGTCAACCACTAGTCTCATCTCATGACATAATCTTTTAAAGATTTATTCTTATATTATCTAATTGTCATAGTTGATTTTGTCTAAATTATGTGACACTCTTATATATTTGAAGAAATATATAAACTCTAAAGATCTGCAAAAAGAAAACAGATTAATAGAAATGTTAAGCTCGAGATCTCACCGATAAATACTTTAACAAACTCTTAATAGATAATATAAAATACAAAGATAAACTTCACAATGTTTGAATAATCACTTAACATAAGATCTAAGACAATTTGTTGCACCCAAAAACCTCCACAAACAAATGCTTATATGATACTACCATGAAACCAAGTGATAAACTAACCTAAAACATTATCTCAAAGACTCATCTAACCATGTGTTACCCAGTTCACTCCAAGGTAATAGGATGACTAAATTTTTTAGCCACTATGCACATGAAAAATATCCCTAATAGTTGCCTAAAGGTTTTATTTTTAGATAAATTTATCTTTTCATGATGACCGTACAAACTTGAAATAATCACAAAATCCAATACCTTCCTTGTGAGTTGTCGACGGTCAGTATTCTATATCCTTGATCTCGTTCTAACAAAAAATTATATATCGTTCGATAAAACTCCTCTAATGATTAAATTAATATGTATTTATTTGTTTTAGATATCTAAAACTCATAAGAAGTTTAATTTTGTTAAGTAGGTTCCAAATAGAAAACATCCCAACATGCTCGATCGTTGTCCTTATGAGGATTCGACAAACAAAGGATGAGTCATTGGTGTATTTTATCATTAAGTTTACTAACAAGTCTTGAGGGGTCATCGATTCTTACCCTTCGATCCTCATGCATGCGTTCATGATAAGGCTTAATTTTTGACTTTTTTAATAATTGATAGAGAGACGATTAGTTAATACTTGAGATGCTTCAAAGGACCAATCACAACTAAGACGATGGTTGTAAGGAGGCACAAAGAATTGCATAAGCATCCGAAGTAGGAGTATCCGACCCTTGACTCTGAGATTATATTGATGGAGAGTCTCTACTCACATAAGACTATTTTAGCTAAGAGCCGATCTATCCCCCTCAACATGTCGCATATTGAGGTGTTCCTTCAGATCAAGCAGAAGAGGATACTACAGGACTACTACTCGATGAGGTCAATATCGAAGAGAACGGATAAATCCAAATTTTAAGTTCTTAACCTTAAGGAATAAATCGAGAAGCTCATTCTTGATGAGGTCAGGCCCCATGCTTGCATTAACTCAACCTACTAAGATCGAGAGACAGCATTGGATAAGCTATGATAGAGGAGGCACCTCTTGATGAGGTCAGGCCCCATGCTTGTTTAAGTTATTAGACCGATGTGCGTTTGTCAGGCTTCTTCTGATCTATGCAGCATCCAACTTGCGTTTAACCGTAGAATGTTAGACTGCTAAGCACCAAAACATGGCTGACTTAAAGATACAACCATTTTGAAAACATGACTATTTTGAAAGATCTGATATAAGTGATTATTTTAAGAAAATGATCATGACTTAATCGATTTAAGTGTGCGATTATCTTATGTTTTTATCTTGATGATGCAACCGGCTTCAGAGCAATAATCTTGAGAAAAAAATCATCTTGAATAACGTGATCGACTTAAGGGATCGATCGTTTTGAGGTAGTCAAGTTAGAGTGAAATGTAGCCTTAGCTATACTCTTATAACCCTCTTAGTTAGACATTTATAACCCTCATTGAAACGACTTGACTTTGACAAGGGTTTAAGAAGATTGTTAATCTATGTGCCACTTCTTAGCATTGTTCTTTTTTCATCCTAGTAGAAACATAAATAGCTTGAAATTGAATGAGCGAATTAACACATATGGGTGCAGGTCAACCACTAGTCTCATCTCGTGACATAATCCTTTAAAGATTTATTCTTATATTATCTAATTATCATATACGTAGTTAGTTTTACCTAAATTATATGACACTCTTATATATTTGTCAGTAAAGTGTCAACCTTCTCATAAACTTTAAAGATCTATAAAAGAAAAAATATATTAGTAGAAATGTTAAGCTCAAGATCCCACCGACAGATACTTTAACAAACACTTAATAGATAATACAAAATACAAAGATAAACTTCATAATGTTTGAATAATCACTCAACATAAGATATAAGACAATTTGTTGCACCCAAAAATCTTTACAAACAAATGCTTATATGATACTACCGTGGAACTAAGTGATAAACCAACTTAAAACATTACTTCAAAGGCTCATTTAACCATGTGTCACCCAGTTTACTCCAAGGTGATAAGATGACTAAATTTTTTAACCACTATGCACATGAAAAATATCCCTAATAGTTGCCTAAAGATTTTATTTTTAAGCAAATTTATCTTTTCATGATGACCATACAAACTTGAAATAATCATAAAATCCAAATAAAACGGGGCTATCAGACTTACCGTAAACCTTTTACATGATATATATATATATATATATATATTACATTGAATACCTTCCTTATGAGTTGCCGACGGTCAATATTCTATATCCCTGGTCTCATTCTAACAAAAAATTATATATCGTCCGATAAAACCCCTCCAACGATTAAATTAATATGTATTTGTTTATTTTAGATATCTAAAACTCATAAGAAGTTTAATTTTGTTAAGTAGGTTCCAAATAGAAAACATATATGATGATACTATTTTATATATTATTTATTTTTTTTTATAATAATTAATTTAATAATAAAATATTCTTGTAGTATAATGTTGATGTGACATATCTGTATGCCTTGATTAGACTCTATATGTTAAGTCTCAACTAATTGAAAATATTAATCATATCAAGAAAAAAATCTCAAAGATTTCATATTTGAATAACGAATATCTCATGTTATAATACTATGCCTTTTCCATAACTTTAAGAGTTGTGACTTAAGAGTAAGAGTAGTACACCCACCTTAAACCCCTCTTGATAAGCTCCTTAATCCAACTATTAAAGGAGTCTAAATAATATTTATAAGGGAACATGCACCCCAACATGCTCCATCGTTGCCCTTACGAGGATTCGACAAATAGAAGATGAGTCATTGATGTATTTTATCATTAAGTTTATTAACAAGGCTTGAGGGGTCACTAATGCTTACCCTTCGATCCTCGTGCATGTGTTCATGATGAGGCTCAACTTTTGACTTTTTTAATAATTGATAGAGACAATTGGTTAATTACTGTACTTGAGATGCTTCAGAGGATCAATCGCGACTAAGACGATGGTCATGGGGAGGCACAAAGAATTACATAAACATCCGAAGTAGGAGTATCCAACCTTTGCCTTGACTCTGAGATCATATTGATGGAGTGTCCCTACTCACATAAGACTATTTTAGCCAAGAGTCGATCTATCCCTCTCAACATGTCGCATATTGAGACGTTCCTCCAGATCAAGCAGAAGAGGATACTAAAGAACTCCTACTCGATGAGGTCAATGTCGAAGAGAAAGGATAAGTCTAAATTTTAAGTTCTTAACTTAAGGAGTAGATCGAGGAGTTCATTCACCAAGAGCATCTCGGACATTTCATCCGAAGGCAACGAGAGCCATCCCAACGATCAAAAGCCTCAATGAAGAGACAAATCAATATGATCAATGGGGGCTCAACTTTTTAGAAAAATAATTCATCTAACAACTTGAAGAGAAAAATAATTCATTGAATCTTAAAATTTCAAGAGAAAATAATACCACGTTCTCAATCACGTTGGATTCTTTATGCAGATAGATATAAATCGAATTGGAATGATTCGATATCACTCTTGTTTATGTAGTATTAAATAAATCAATACTTAATAGAGCTTGTGCATTGTGCTTGTAATTTTAATTAGCTATTTATACGAAGATAAGGATATTAATCAAATTGGAACATTCGGTGTGAGGATAGTGACGAGATTCTCGATCTCCAATCAAACGCTCGACAGCGTTCCCTCCTCAGATTGGCCACCCAAATGTCGTCCCGCCGTGCCTCTGTCACATAATTCACCAGTGGGACCCACTGAATGTTATATGTGGGCTCCTCTTGTGCCCAGGCCGTGACAGTCGTGCGTACTTGCAGGCAGCGTTGCGGCGTGGTGGGGTCCAACTCGGCCTCTTGACTGCGACCGACTGACGAATACCCGCACCGACTAAGCCCATCTTCGTTCGACGATATCGGCCGCACGACCATCATCACACGCAGGAGAACGCCGATCTCAGCCGTTCGCTTACCGCCGTCCGACCCATCGCCGTGCGGACTCGTGCGATTGTAACAAGCCCGATTTAAATCCTCCGCACACGTCCGCAATAGCGCCCCTCCTCGAGTTGGTAGAATGCGACCGAACACAGCGTGGAATGGTGCGATCGCAACTCTCGGCCGTCGAGTTCCCGTGTTCGCGAATCTTGAAGCAGAACGCTTCTCCGAGTTCCTCCTCCAACTTGACGACGACGACGAGAAAAAGCGGTTGCTCTAGTGATTCTTTCCCACCGGTTTCGTACGATTTCTCCTGTTCGATCGATCGATCGATCATCACTTCCGCCGTTCATGGTCAATCCTTTTTGGGTTCCTTCAAAACCCTAGTTGGGATCGGCCGCCAGCGATGTTTGTGTGGCGAGATAAAGCTTGGATTGGGATCGGAGAATCTATTTTGATTCCTGTCGATTGAGAGAATTTTGATTTGTTTTTGAATCGGTCTCGAAGATTATCCGATCAAGTGGCACCTACTTTCTTGCTGGTGTTTCTAGGGGTTGGATTGCTGCCTTTGGTGGCGGAATTGGGTCGATGGATTTGGTTGCCAGTTGCAGGGTATTTTTTTTTCTCTATAAATTGTTGCTCACTTCTGCTTTTAATTGCTTGCTTGATCCATTTGTTTCACCTTCTTGAATTGCTTATGGGGATTAATTGTGACGTTGTATGGAGATGGATTCTTGTAGTGCTTATTTAAGTTGGTTGGGCGACTTTGTGATTGGAAAACGAGGTTGATAGGCAGAATTTCACCCTTGAACTGGGTTTCCTTGCCAAGTATATCGGAGTTTATTATGCATGGGTCTCTTCTTTGTTTCTTGAATACTTCAGTTTTGAACATAATTTTCTGATCATTAAACGGTGGCTGTTTTATGACTTCGTAACTAGGATTAATAGTTGAATATAACAAGATAATGTTGATGCGATAAGGCTAAAATATAGTTCTGTATTGACTGAATTATTTGTTACATGGTAATGCATGGCTCAGTTTCTAATTGTAAAATTGAAATTGCGTCAAATGAAATAAAATAAATTACAGGTGATAAAATTTCTTGAATATTTTAAATAACTTAGGTGCAAATACAGATGTTATCTCTTCATACATCCAGTAGAATGACAGTATCTGTTCTAGCAAGATCTTCAAATCAGTGAAAAATATCAGATATATATTATAGTAACTTAAAGAGCTTGACTACTATATTCAATTTCCACAACATACATTGTTTTAACTGAAAATATATTAACCCAACAGCCAAACTACTTTTTTGCTTTTTTTTCCTTGCATGTGTGGATATATTTGGATTACCTTTTACTTCAAATTTATGTTTGTTGCATTATTTGTAACAGAGAGTTCAACCTCTGCTGATATCTCTCTTCCCAGAGGCCACTTTTATGCATCGCTTCATGGTTGTTGTTGATGTTGGGTGTTGTTTAGTTGTTGTGCTATCTGCTTTTATGTGTGCATGCATACAGTGATTATTTTGAGAATTAGCCTTTGCCAGTTTAGCAAACTCATGAATAATAAGACCAATGCGATTATTAAGAATGCTTCCCTTTCGCTCCATTTATTGATGTCTATGTTATTTACATCAGGATAAGTTGGCATGCTTTAGAATAAAAGAGCTGAAGGATGTTCTGACTCAACTAGGTCTCGTAAAGCAAGGAAAGAAGCAGGTCAGCTATTGTTATTGTTTAATAAGATTATTATTTGTTTTTTAAAATATATCTAGAGCTAGAAGTTGTGAATGTTATACAAGAAATGCCATGGGACATGGGATAATCAAGTTGAGATAAATAGGGTATTACAATAATCAGCACCTGAGCAACTTTCTGTCTTTGTTGTGACCAGTAAAATTCTTCATAACAGAACCTGAACTTGCAAGATCCATCCATAAAAATCATTGTAGCTAATGTTTTTTGTTTAGAATATTAGAAGATATTATTTTCTACTACTTCTTCTGTTTTTAGGCTTATATCTTTTTTCTGTTTTCTAGTTTGCATTATTTGCTATCCTGCATAGTTAACTGATTCCGAAGAGAAGTTTAATGCCTTCTGATTGAGGATACTCAATTAACATTGTTACAGTCTTACAGACAAGTCTCCTGGAATGTCATCATGTGGGCGGTTTATTCTTGCATGTTCAGCCATATAACCTTGCAGATTATAATCTATCGCCAGCACTAAGACTCCTTTGTGTTTTGATTTTTTTGATCTATAATTTTCTCAAATTTATTAGTAATTTGATTGTTTGTTGGTGCTATGCAGGACCTTGTGGACAGGATTTTGCAACTGCTTTCAGATGAACAAGGTAGTGACATCACTCTATTTTTGGCAGTTCGAACATAATAGATAATTTGTGATGTTGTCTACATGTCAGATTTCTTGAAATTATCTTCTGATTGTTGTTTAGATTGTCTGATTATTGTTAATCCTTATCCTTAGAGTTGGCTTGTTTGTCCCATGAATTTGCTTTCCTTCTTCAAGGCGAATGATGTTAAAGCGCCTGTCACTTGAAGTTATGTACTCAGGTCTTTTAAATATTTTGATTTCTTTTAACAACAGAGCGTCCAGTAATCATTGTGTATCTAAGTTGAATGCCACCTTCATCTTTCCGATGTGTACTTGATTGCATATGTATCTATGCATGTTATTTCCAAGGATAGTGATACAGTATTCTTTTGCCAACCTTTCCTCTTAAATATCTCGTTTTTCCTTAGATTTTTGTCTAAGCGTTAACCTTTCTACAGTTCCCAAGTCACAGGTTTGGGGAAAAAGAAATTCCTTCTGGAAAGATGAAGTGGCTAAAATAATCGATGATGCTTACAGGTGATCATGATTTTGGCCATTATCTATGTCAGCCTTCTGTTTCAAATATTTTATTAAATGTGTCCTATAATAGCATGATCAACTTGCTAATTAAATTATTAGGAGGAAGATTCTAGTTCCTGGTGCCACAGACTTAGCATCCAAGAGTGGTATTGTCACAGATTACAATCAGGTGAAGCCTAAAGAGGAAATTGATGATTATCGTTTGGAAATGAAGGTTCGCTGTCCCTGTGGGAACTCATTTAGTACTGATTCAATTATTCAGGTATATATTCTCCTTTTGGCTTTTCAATGTTCCTAAAGTTAATTTTGACCAGCATCATGTTCTTCGCTTTATATGATACAAAGCATGTATACCATTAAATTTCACTTACATGATTACATCATCATGTTTTAGTATTTTAATGGTTGAATTTATTTTTCATGAGAATTATTTGGATCAACTGAGGTCTGTTCTTCTCTAGAGATGCTGTACATGTTTTTTCTCTGTTAGGTGTATCATGGCATCATCTTAAATCTTCTTGGTTCCATAGTCATACTTTTGAAGACTCTGCATCAGTCATGATGGCTCTATTAATTTGGCCATCTTTTGTTACTATGAATAAATTATTGGGGTCTGTATGCTTGTGCTATTTTTTTTAAGTGTGATCTTTGTGTGCTTATTTTGTGTATAAGGGCATCTTCTATATGTTTTTTCTTCATTTTTATTAATAATTGTAGCAGCATATAAAGTTGAGATTTTGAAAAGTATGAAAGCCTTGAAAGAAGCAACCACAAAATTGCTAGCACAATTTGAAGTGTGCTATTAATTGATTTAAGCAATACCTACAGTGTGTTGTCCTTGTGGAGTATTGTTTTGAAATGAGCTTTAATGATTATAACATCATACTTAGGAAATCAGTTTAACTTATGCAAATTACAAAACTAAAACAAACTTCATGTTCTTTCTTAATTATTCATCAAACTAAAGCTTCCTTCTTAGTTTTGTATGCCGTGGGGCCTTATTTATAAATTTTCAATTATGACTGATGTAATGCAATATTACCGCATATTTTTAGAATTCAAGTAGTTTTGAACTATAATTTAGTTGTTGTTGCATTTTTCTCCATAAGCTTAACATAAGGAGAATGCTTAATTTGATGCTTGGACTGTACTGGAGCACATTCCCCATTCCTGGCCTTATTTTGCATATTTTACATCTTTCTCTCACTCGTCATTACCATTACCAAGTGATATACTTCTATTTTTCTGTTTAATACATGTTTTACCCTTTGATGTGCGTTTTTCTTGTGACTGCTAGTTATCCAAGCAGCTTTGAACATTTCTAGGGTTCTTAATGTGCTGAGCGGGCAAGGCTGGAAAGATCCAACTTTTTTGCTTTTCTACTTCTATAATATCTTCTAAAAGCAATTTTTTTCTTAAAAACCAAATTCCTCTTTTCTTGGTATTGGTTGCTCTTGTTGCTTGGCTTGTTCACTCAAATATGTTTTCTTGCTAGCTTTCCTGGTTTTATTTTTATTTTTATCTCCAGTATATGCAGTTCTTTGCTGGAGTCAACTATTCTTTAGATCTTTTGAATCTTTATTACATGATGAATTTTTGCATTGTTTGACTAATGGCGTTTTCTGATTATAGTGTGAGGATCCTGGGTGTCAAGTGTGGCAGCACATAAGTTGTATAATTATACCCGAGGGAACTCTGGAGGGTCCTTCACCTGAACTTCCAACTCGTTTTTATTGTGAATTATGCAGAATCAGTAGGGCTGATCCGTATGTCATGCCTATCCTTGTTTCCCCCCTCATATTGCAAGTACTTTGGTCATAAGAGTTAAATCTTTAATTTTTATTACAATGAATCTTGGCTAATATTGTTTGAGTAACAGTTTTTTTATCTGTATTGGTACTACCTATGTAGTACTGTCTCGTAAAAGATACTGAACTTTGTTTTAGGTATTTGTGATATTTATGTTTAATTTATTTATTTTATTCTGGTTATGGTATATGCCTCTGATCAATTTCTGCTAAAAAATTGTAATATTATCTTTCTAGTCAGAATCAGTTTGCACTGCCTTCTATTCTCTAAGATAGTGTCTATCTTCATCTATAACAAGAATGGTTGGTCGCAAGGTTCGACTTACTGGTTTGAACCGGTATATCGATCAGTCGGCAGCACGGTACGTGCCGCTCCATACTAGTATACTGTATGTCGATACGATAGGGTATATCGATGGCACAAAAAAAAGAAAAAAAATAGGTCCGAAAATCCCTGAAAAATAGAAAAAAAGTTAGATTAGGGTTTTTTGAGTTAGAAATAAATATAAATTTAGTATAATTTTAGCAAAAATAATCTAAGTTAGGAAAGAATAGTGGCACATATTTTTTTTGGGTTTTGAGGAGAGCAGGTTTATGGTACGTTCCAGATCTTCCTTCCGTTGATATTGAATTATTTACTAGTTGAGAGAATGAGAGAATGAGAGAAATATGTGAATAAGAGAATGAAAGAAATGTGAGTGAGAAAGTGATTGAAAGAGTAAATGAGTTAAGGAAAGCGAAAATGGAGAGAATGAGGGGGTAGAAACTCTTTCTACTAGTTCAAATGGTCAAAGAGACCGTTTGTATCAAATCAGTCCTAGCCCTTGATCGGTATCGGTCGAAATCTGGTAATGGTCGGATTTCGATTGTTCCAATCGGTACAGACCTGTATCGGGCGATACGAGACCATTTAACATAGACCACCTGGTATAGGGTGGTCCGCGTACCGGTCCCCTATCAGATCGGTACGTTGGCCTATAACGAGTGGTATATTGCAGCATGGCACACCCTTACTTGGGTGTGTCGTCAGTAAGGTACACAGTACAAATTGTAATATGTGTTAGTTGTTTGATCTCTTTTTCTTTCTACTGACTCGACATAACTGAGAGGTTGATATAATACTGATAATTCTGTAGATGTGACAGTGTCCAACGTGTGTAAAATCATCTTGAAGAGCTGTAGAGAAGGAGCATACTGTCTTTGGTCACTTTAATATTTTACTTGATAAAAATATCAATTTTATAGGAAAATAAATAGAAAAAGATCATGTTGGCTGGTTGGTGATAAAGAAGGTTTGGCCTCACTATGATGATTTTTAAAGGAAAAAAAAAAGACCACTTCATGAAAGCTAAGGTAGCACTTTTCTGTACTTCAGCTAGCTTTTCCTACAAATTCTATGCCTTATTTCTCTATCCATCATATGTCCTTTTTTTACCTGTCTCAAAAGATAAGCAATTACTTGTTGATATTAGTGCCACTCTTGTGTACTACAGGTTCTGGTTGACAGTGGGGCACCCGTTGCTTCCTGTAAAGTTGACATCTTCTGGAATAATTGGCGATGGGTAAGTGCTCTGTTATTATTCTTCTTTGTACAACATAATCTCATGAACTTGTTAAAAACACCATAAAGGCTTGTAGATTTGGGATATGGAAAACAATCATATGAAACTTATTGGTTAGCTACTGTCATATGTCCTTGATCAGATAGCAAATCAACGCTTTTCTTCCCTATAAATGGTTCAGATCCACCCGCATTACCTTGTTCATTCATTCTTCTATTATTTTGTTTTTATGGTCATAAGCATGTTTGGTTTCCACAACTAATGTCAAATAGAAGTATTTGTATAATTTGTTTTTGGGTGGGAACGAGGCATGTCTTTTTTGCTTTCTTGAATTGGAAAATCAAGAATTAGATGCCCAAAAACTTGTGTTTCCTGAATTGTTAGTTGATTACTAATGATGGATTGTCCTTTTTGCTTTGAGATTCTAAAATATTATGATTTATTTTAGGAGACATCTTTTGTACTCACCTGTGAGTACCATATGTGGATTACAGGAAAAAAAGCAGTCACGTGAAGGACAAAATGTCGTTAGCAATCAATTACTATTATTATATGAGAAAAAGGCTCAAGTTTAATAAATTATGACAATATTGGAACACTTTGGTAGTGTAATTTCTGAATATTTAAGTTGACTGCAGAATTGCAGGTACCATTTATTATTTCTGGATTTAAAGAATTTGTAGGACCTCTTATATGAAATTTTAATAAACCAAAATGCTCTTTGTAAAGTGGGATTTTGGGTGATTGTCTATCTATTCATGCATTGTTTGATGTGAATTTTATGAACCAAAATGCTCTTTATATTTATTTTATGATTTTGCATTGTTTGATGTGAATTTATAGTACTGATTGGCTTATTTTGCAAAAGTGATGGCCATTTCATGATGCTTGTTGATCATGTGTACATCCTACTTTTAGTGCCTTCCTTTAATTTGTCTCTATTATGTGTTTTCTTGTAATATTTTTCTCTAATTTTGCTTGTAAATCTCCAGCACAAACACATTACAAAATGTGGAAAGGATATTTCAATTGTCAAGAGCAGATAGAGAATTGTTCCAGAGAGCTGACTATGATCTCCAGGTTAGCTTATGTCCTTGGTTCTTTTAGAATTATTGGTTTTTTCGAGTTACTAGTCTTTGGAACTTTTGATTCACCAATTAATTTACATAGACTATTGTGGTTAAGCATACCCACATCCAGTGACATCATCTTGCCATTTATACTTGGGATTGATGTGGACTTGTGAGGAGGCTATTGTGTTTGGTGAGGCTTATCTGTCACATTTGGAGTGGACTGCATAAGTAATTAGATGGCATATGCATCATGTTTTTTCCATGTGAAATCCTCATGTTTATGTGCATATAGCCATCATTTTTTAGTGCAAACAAGTAATTATTCAAAACCTCTGATCTCTCATGAATCTTTAATTATTGCAACATCCCTGAAACAGACATTTTCTCAATATAGCCTTGGGAAATGTGGAACAAGACATTTTAATGATTTGCATAATTGCAAAGGTAAGAAACAACAACCTGTACCAATGTATCTCATCTATGGGAAGAGGAGCATCACTAAGAACCTCTCTGTTGTATTAACCTAATTTTGTATACTTGCAGAAATTCATCTGAAATTACTAGACCATGACAGTAGCGATTACATGGATTAATGTAATAACACGTTATATGCTTTATGGCTCTTTGCATATTTTCATCACTAAATGCATATATAAACACATGTACCTAGACATAAAACTTGCATGTGGATTTTTGTACCTTATTTGAAATTTCAACTGATTTTTTGTTGTCTTATAATGATCCTGCATCAAGAGAATGTTCTACTGCTCTGAGTTTCAAGTCAAAATTGGATTACAGTTTTATGCATTACTTCTCATCGTTTTTCACTTTTATATTGCCACCATCTTAGTGCTGCAGCCACCTCTATCTCTTTCCAATTATCATTGCCATCTTTGCTACTACCATGTCAACAATAATTATCTTTGCTCAACCACATTCATATCCCCCTCCACATATGCTACCATCACATCCCTTGTGACAGTAATTTCCACCATCACCATAATTATGTTCACCACTGCTGCTATTGTTTTCGTCGCCTAGGTTTCAAATGCTAATCAGAACGGTATGTAATAATCCATATTTATCGGTTTGCCTAATGATCCGAGTGGATAGCTCAGTGTTGGTTGGTATTTCATTTTATTATTTATTCGGTGACATTTGAAGGTACAGGATGATATGCTTCTTAGTTTGTTGGTACCATACTAGGCTGAATGTCTCAGGACTGAGATTTTAAACCCTGGTCATCCTCGTCACCACCTTCATTCCCTTTGCCATTCAATTGCCACTAGCTTTGAAGATTACCACCAGTATATCAACGACAATCACCTTTGTCACTGCCATGGATGCCAAATCTATTATCACCACTTACTATGGACAATGATTTTAATGGTGTGTTATATTGCAGGTTTGGTGTCTACTACTCAAAGATAAGGTTCCATTTAGGATGCAGTGGCCGCAATTTGCAGAGTTGAAAGTTAACGGTATGTAAGTAATCTGCCCTTGCGTCTATTGCAGAACATGCCATGATCTTGTTGCTAATTTTTCAAATTGTTTAAACATTCTTGGTCTGTCATTCATCCTAAGCTCTTGTTTTGTCAACCTTAAAGATTGTCATATATGTTTGTAGCAGATGGTGACTAATATGGGCAAGTTATATTTGCAGTGCATATCTAATGTGCTTGATCTTTCCGGCTACATATGCTGATGTTTTCACTTTCAACAGGAGTTGCAGTCCAAGTGGTTGCTAGACAAGGGTCACAGTTATTGGGTATAAATGGTCGGGATGATGGTCCAGTGGTCAGTCACATGGTTCCTTGAGGCCCACAGTACTTTTACTGCATGTTATAGAAGCTCATATTTCTATGATTCATCTTAATCTATGGTCACTGCAAATTTATTTCCCTTTTATTCCTAAATATGTATGATATTCTTTCTCGTAAGTGAAATCACAAACTGTGAAAACCTGGAGTGCAAAGATGTTAAATAGCCCTTGGTTACCCAAGGCCATGGTCTTCCTTTAAGATCCCGACAATAGTCTATGAATGTTGCCAGTGGCCCCATCGATGATCTTGGTTAAATTATATATTCAAAACCCACCATTATCTTTAAGTAATTTTCAGTATCATGTCCCTTGCTAATGCAGCATATTCAGTCAATTTTAAACTGTCATCTGTGTAAATGCAAATTTACACAACAGTATGTGTAGACGATATGAGTGTGTAGGCTGTGAGGCTGATTTAGTCCAAGACCGTAGCCCAAGCTTTTGGGAGACCACCTGTAACAACAATGGTGGAAAGATGTTATGAACTTCATACAAGAAAACCACATATGATTTACCAATCAGGAGTCAGGACATAGTTCTATTATAGTTTATAAGCATTATTTAACTTCCCGTGCATTTATTTCTTGACATGGATATGCCTTATCATTTGATTGTTTTATTTAGATAACCACGTGTACCAAGGAAGGCAGTAACAAAATTTGTTTATCATGGCGTGATGCTCGAGTATTCTGTTTTGGAATCAGACTTGCAAAGAGGCAGTCAATACAACAGGTAGTTTATTTAAATTTTACTTTGTGCCCATGAAAGTTTGAAATAATCTGTTGACTTAGATAATTTGTTTGCATTACATGTGACATTATCATCATTTGCTGTTAATATGAGCTAGTATGTTTGTTTATACTATTTTGCCTTGTTCATATGTTTGTTATTCGATTGATTGTTTCCTTCTAGTTAGACTCAGTATTTTGGATGGCAGCTTATCAGCTGATAAAAGGAAACTTGACCTCCTAACCTGGCTTCAATCATGTCATAATGTTGATTAATGAAGTCTCTTCATCTAATGGCACTCATTTTTATAAGATAGTGGATAATGAGTAATCAACATGATAATTATGGTGTATGCCCTAATTAGGGTATTTAAAATAATTTCATGGCAGCTTATCCTGCATTGCACCTATTGATATCATGTATCCAAGTGCTAGTTGTATCATGATGTTCATTGTTCCAACAGCAACAGCCGTTCTGATAAATAAGCTGTTAAGATGGGATAATATTTTGATCTTTTGAGGTGTCATAAATTTCATCCTCTAGGACTTGTGAGATTCCTTTCTATTTCTTCTTAAGATCATAAAAACATTTTAAATATCATGAGAAAAATGAAAATACAAAATATATAAAAGTTAATGGAATGAAGAATGATATCAAGTCCAACATAATTAATAAATGAGCATGATGCTTTTGAAATTAACTCATGTTCTCTTTTGGAGCCCGCAACACATTGGGGAAGACTATTTAGTTTGGATTATGTTGTGGGATTAGTTGATTCGTTTTATTGGGTTGTGGAACATATTGAATTAGTTACTTAGGTTGCTTGCTCCATTGTATAAGATGTTTTGATGTTATTTCTAAAATCGGGTCAATAACAGTGGTGCTAGTAGTAGAAGACCTGAAATGTCTGGAAGTATTTCTTTTATTGTTTGACTGTTTTTGTTGTTCTGAGTTTCTTTTTTTCCTTTTTAGAGGACTTTAGAGTATTTTATGAATTTTATTTGTTTTAGTTGATATGGCCCACAAAACATGCAAATCGGGACAAGTAACCCCGAAAGCAGTTCTGAGGACTTATTGGCATTGTTGAAATTTGTGTTGGCATGTGCATGCTAGCAAAACAATCGACGTAAAAAGGATTAAAAGAGATGGAAGGAAGTATTGAATTTGCATACATGCATGGGCATGGTACATCCCCAACTTGGCATGAGGCTTGTTCATAGAGTTGCAGCCATCCATTGGGTATTGCTTCCTTTTGAACTCATCACACACAAAAGATGTTGAGTACTTTTCTTTCTCAATTTGTACCTTAGGGTTGGGGCTTCACAATGGTTTTCAAGGTGCAGGACTTGGATGTGTGAAATTGTTCTTAAGTGGAATAACTGCTTGATACTATCTTGATTCTTTTCCCTATTGTTTGGGTTGTTTATGGAAATGTTTGCAGGTTTGATAAATGTTGTGTTGGATTTACATCTAAATGATGCCATGTAGCTCCATATCTGTTAGGAGATGGAGAGCTACTGTCTTATAAGCACCAGCAAGCCTCCTCTCCTCAAGGATCCATTTATGACAAAATCATGCAGGCTATAATTTAAAGCAGATAATACCTTTAGGGCAGCTGGAACTAGCTAGTGACAGACATGTTCCATCACACCTTGCATGAAATAATTACTTCTGCTAAAGAGTCGTAAGCGGCCCTACAAATAACCATAGACACCATAGACAGTTATCAGGAACCTCCAATTAAAAAAAAATATTTCATTGTGATGTGATTCTGTTTGCTTTTAATTTGTGTGAAAAGTCTTGGATAGTTCCCAACATATCAGAAGTGTCAAAATACAATAAATGTCTGGTACTTACAGATTTTGTTTTTGACTTCAATGTGGATAGTTTTTTCCTATTTGTTTTCCTGATTTTTAATTGATTGTTCCTTGTCTAAGGGACCTATTCTTTAATTCTAGGTTCTTAGTTTAGTGCCCAAGGAAGCAGATGGTGAGTGCTTTGAAGACGCTCTTGCTCGTGTTTGTCGCTGCATTGGTGGTGGAACTGCTACAGAAAATGCTGATAGCGATAGTGATTTAGAAGTGGTAGCTGATTCTGTTACAATCAATCTCCGTTGTCCTGTAAGTGGAAGTATACAGACTAGTGCTCAGAGTGTTATATGTAATGCTGATTGAAGTAGCATTGATGCATCTGTATTATGTTTGATTTCCTACCAAGCTAACGAGTTGAGTTTTATCTAATATCCGTATGGAGCAAAGTTGTGTTTTACAAAAGAATCTTTGGAAGAAAACTATATAGGCCCACTTTAGTTTGTTACAGCTGGTTTCCCCCAATGATGACCCAAGAAATTTTGCTATTGATGGAGGTTTGTATGATCTGTGATGTTTTAAATAATAACTTGCAGACCAGCTGTCTGCCCCTAAAGACAAACCTTTTGTTATGTTGCCTTTTAATCTCTTTTCCAGTTCAACAATGATACAAATTTTGTACTCATAAAACTTGATACCTTTTATGTGAATTATTTAGTAAAAAATTGTCCCAAGAAGTATATATGATGCTTGGCCTTCATCATGCAATACAAATTGATCGAGGCATCTGAGTTTCAGTGATCTTCTGTGCTCGTGTTGTGCTTCTAAAACCAATGTAGATATGATTGACTGGGATTTAAATCTTGGCCACCAGATAGTTAAAGGTATCAGAACATTAGGTGGTACTCAGAAGTACCATCTGGTATCATTGAACTTATTATAAAAAAATGGATGATACTGTACCAATATCGAGTCATGTGCTTTGATACCACTACTTGGTTGAACCCGTAAATACTGATTCGTAATGATTAGTATGTTCGAGATTTGAAACCTTGATGATTAACCTCTTAGTTATCATGCTTATGTTTAAAGAAAATAATCTGTATCCCTCTGCACATAAATTACATTGGATAAATTAGTTTATAATAGATATACTGGTAACTGAACTTCTACTGTGTCATGTCACAACCAAGGATTGAATTGTTGCCTGCACAAGGAGTTGACCTAGCTGTGCAGAGTCTTGATGGCTCTTTTATACTACTACTGCATCAGGCTAATTTTCGGCTAGTATTCACCAGCACAGAGGAATGTTAGCTGTATCAGGCCAATTCATATTGTGCTGACAACACTGAAATTCTCCATTCCGCTAATTTTAAAATTTTGGTCATAAAGTAGTTTTTCTCCCATTTCAATTTGCAGATGAGTGGTTCTCGGATGAGGATAGCTGGCAGGTTTAAATCTTGTATTCATATGGGGTGTTTCGACCTGGAAACATTTGTGGAACTTAATCAACAATCTCGGAAGGTTGTGATGATACTTTCGAATAGTCTCTTCTTACTTTTTTTCTTTTTTGCACTAAGAAATTTGTTTGCTTTCATGCAGTGGCAATGTCCTATTTGTCTCAAAAACTATTCCCTTGAAAACATTATCATCGACCCATATTTCAATCGCATCACTTCATTGGTATGTACTTCAGTCAATCATTCTTTTAACTTTCAATTGGTTCAATATTATATGTATATATTGAACAGTTTCCCATTTTTATTTTGGTGATACAGTTGCATAATTGTGGAGATGTAAATGAAATTGATGTAAAACCTGATGGTTCTTGGCGCATTAAGAATGAAGAATTTAGTGATCTATCTAAGTGGCATCTGCCTGATGGTTCACTTTGTGCTGATACATGTGCAGAGGTGAAGCCTGACCTGGAGAAACTAAAGGAGATTAAGCAGGAAATTACTTCAGAGGTGCATAGAAATTTGAAATTAAAGCGAAACAGACGGGGATTTTGGGAAGTCGGTAAACCTGATGATATGAGGCTTCAAACCTCTCAGAATCATGTCCTCAGTAAGCTTAAAGATCATTGTCAGATCATTCCTATGAACAGTAGTGCAACCTGTAGTTATAGAGCTGTGGAAGACCCAAGTGTCAATCAAGAGGCAGGGCATTTTGGTTCATCTTTGAACAGTATCCATGAGCTAAATTCTCTGGTTTTCAATTTTGATCCAACATATAATGTTGATAATAGAGTTCAACCTGCACCATCGAATACACCAGATGTTATTGTCCTCAGTGATTCTGATGAAGATAATCATACACCACTTTCTCCTGAAACCGCCCATGACACTTGTCTGGCTGGTGGTGGTGAAATCCCTTTTCCTAGCCATCTTGAAGTTTCAGAAAGAATCATTGTAGATGCTGATCTTGAGATGTACAGTGGTTTTTGTGCTGGTTTGTTTGACAATAATACTGATGACTTTGACATTCCAAGCCCTAGCTTCCAACTATTTGGGTCAAATGCTGAAGTACAAGATCCTTTAGTTGATTCACATACTTCTCTTGACCGTGCACTAACTGATGCCTATGGCTTAGCATCCAATGGTGGTTTTGGGGACACTTCAAGAATTCAAGATCTTTCTGCTGGTCATACGAGTATTGAAATACATGAAAGCATGGTTGATAATCCCTTGGCATTTGCTAGTGATGACCCATCTCTTCAAATTTTTCTTCCTACTCGACCAGCTGGAATTCCTCTGCAGGATGAGTTGAATGACCGCAATGAAGTGCCAAATGAGGTCACCTCTGATGATTGGATATCGCTTACCCTTGCTATTGGTGGAGATGATGGTAAATCTGCCCCTGTTAAGAGACCAAGGTCAGAGCAGAAATTCACACCAAAGGAGAGGATGGAACCATTAGATGAATCTGGTTAGTACCTTCTCGATAAAACGGCCACATTATTTTCTTGGTGCCTGCATCAATCTGTCTAGGACACTAGCTTACTGTGGAAAGAATTTAAACTTTAAATATTTCTCTTACCTAAAGATTTCAGACATTTCCAAACATGGTCTGATGGTTTCACCACCTAATTTTCATAATGAAGAGCCTTTAGATAAAACAATATTGAAAGAAGAATAATCCGCTTTGATGTAAAATGCCAAGATATTTTACTGTATGTGTTATTCATTTTTAATGAATGGTGAAGTACACATCTTTCACTTTGTATTGCTTTAATGCTCTAGGGGTTTCTACCTTCTCAATGTTAAATAATGATGATTCATGTTTAAGAATCCACTGAATGCACTCATGGAACCATTGTAGCATTGGCATTTTAAGTTGTTTTGTTGTCTTCTGTACGTGGCTCTGTTTTTGCTGCTCTTTTGCATCACATGTGCTTATATTGTGTTCATTTAGACCAGAAAGGGATCCCCTATTTCTTTCTATTTGCATCCTATACCAGAAGTACACTTGATTTCATGCTCATGCTTGTTTGCACTAATATTTCCATTATATTTCTTTTTTGTCAATTATGCTTTTTTTTAACAATCTGTCAACGTTATGTAGGTGCCAATTTCTTATTTTATTACTAGTGGGCTACCACCTTTCTCATGGCCTTTTCTTTTGAACTCTTACATTTGTGAACGATCTTATAGTTATTTCATTTTTAGTTATGGTTGCTCCTCCCTTTATCTTATTCCGTAGATGAGTTATCAATTGTTTTATGGATTTAGTGAAGTTTGTTTCTCCCCTTGTGATGCAGCTTCTTTACTTTTGAGCATAAATTATAACAGAGTTGATAAAGTTCATTCAAAGAATCAAAGGTCTGAGAATCCATTTTCACATCCCCGACAGCCACGGTCTGCTAGGCCTCGATTGTATCTGCCAATATATACTGACTCTGATTAGTCATCTAATGAAGATTCAGATCATGGTTTTTTTTTCTGTAGAAAAGGACTAATAGTTGGATCTACACCTTTTTCTGTTGATTGGATAATATCATTCTTATTTATACACAAAGCAATTACAGGCAATATTTATTTTGCCATGAGTTAGATAAGTTCCTATTCCTGATCACAGTAGCAAGTGGCTTCCAATCATGCCAAGTTTCCTGCCTACTGGTGAGGCACTTTAAGTGGTTTTCTTGTTTTTTATTCCTTTATTCTTGTGTTGATTGATCTCTGACTACTACATATTGATCAGATCCTTGCGGAACTTCCTGTTTTTTCTATCTGAATTGCAGAACCAATGTGGTTGCATGCTGCAAATTGTACAATACGATTCTGTGTTGACGGGAGCCTTTCTGAGTTGTAAGTCAAATTAGTGGTTTGACTTATATGCTGTTATTGATTCTAAATTTAGTTGATTTTTGTGGTCCTTAATTTTTGGTGTCTATGAAGAAAATGCAGCATAAGCCTTCAGAAATTGGTGGACAGAAAAGCCATGTAATTAGTGCCATGATATGGTTTCCGATGATTGGTGTGTTTGATTCATGTCAGGATTCACCTTCATCAAAGACTTGTGCAAGGTCATGAGGATCATCCCCTTCCCTTACCTGTAGTGATTAGATGGATGACTGCTTCACTCACAACTTGCAGTCCTTTCACATGTATATATGTTGCTTTTATCATATTCCACATGGACTTCTATACATGCTTAACATTGTTGAAATTAGGGCCTTGCTTGCTTTCACATCTGGGTGTCACTGCCTTAAGGATCTTTTTCGTGAAAGACAGCTGTTTATATACCTTCAGAGGCAGAGCCTTTGGTTTTGAAGGTACTTCTAAACCTGATTAGAAAGAGAAATTTAGTGCTGCACTTATTTGGTCAGTTCTTGAAAGTTTCCAATGAAGCGCTACCAGAGTTGTTTTCTCTTGCCTGGCATTTGTTTCACTGGATTTTTGCTGCAAGTTTATATTTCCAATCACTCGTTTTTGTTATATTGTGGCATAGTGTATGTTCTCTCCTTTTGCTGTATTGATTAATTATACATCAAACATGCGTGTTTACTGCGTAGTTATGAATATCCATGATGACATTTCTGCCAAACATATATGTATGAAAATTGATCATTAGTTCACTGATGTTGAACACTGGGTGGTGAACATCAACTTATATATAGGGGAAGAATTGGAGTTCAACTAGAAAGAGGTTGAACTTTTAATACCCATCATTTTTGTTGCAATTACAGTTAATCTTACTTTATTCTTGTGGAGACTAATCCATTCATATGAGCACTCTTGTTATAAAATGTCGAAGAATGCTATAGTAATTTGTTATATTCATCTATTCCTTTTTCCTTTTCTTCATTTGTTGCTGAACTTATGTTTTATTTGTTGGATTATGTCACCTTATTTAATACCTTTCTTCTGCTTCTGTTATTATTTTGCGTATATTAAGAGTTGAGAAATCTGAGGCGTGTGTGCTTTACGAATAGATTCTAAGAAAAGATAATCTTGTTCTTATACAAGAACCGAAGTAATTGTAGAAACTGTTGTGTTGTTGTGATAAATAGTTCTGGTTTTTTTAGATTTTGTTCGCTGATATCCAATGATAAATGTCTCGCTCGGCTCTATGCCGCGGTGGGGAGGACAACCTCCTGCTGCTGCCAACGAGCCCACAGAGCGGCCGTGACTGCAGCACGGTTGTTGCCGGGCCGATGGGCTTGCCTCGTCCGCAACGAGGAGATCTGCAACAGAGGTATTGACGTTTGTGCGTTTTGATCTCCCCTCATGCTTTCTTTTGAGTTCATTGTTGTCTGGAAACTTTCCTGTTCTTGATCCGATTCTATCGGTAGCTTTGCTCGTGGCGATACTTCAGTAGCTGCCTTGTTATTTTACATCTATTGTTACCTTGATGTTGTTAACCGTGGAGTCATCACGACTTGGTTTGATCCTGAAGATGCAAGCTCGTCTCTCGTCTAGGGAGCTCACAAGAGGAGATCGGCGAATCCGGGTGGCACGATTCTAAGGCGTTACTTGTTTGCTAAAGGTAAATTTAGTATTGTCTCGAGGTTTACTTTAGTCTTACCGAGGTCTCTACACAAGTGATCAGCGTCGAAGGGATGTTTTTGACCTGACCCCTCTGATGGTAAAGTCAGTTAGGAGGTGAAAATAGTAGAGATGCCCCCCCTTCAGGCTTTGGGGTTGCTTCTATACCCTAGTAGCCAATGGAGTGCGATCGACAGCTTGTCCGGGAACCCTTCACATCATCCAAGGGCTCATTTTATGGTAATGGTTGATAAGCACATCTCTTTGAGGTGGCGTCAGGGAATGATGATTGTGAGAGTATCGTTTGTTAGGGCTAGAGCCTGTCTGAAATAAGTTGGGGATGGTCTCCCGTGTCAAGCGCCTGGAAAGAGGGAAAAGGGGAGCTGGGTCATCTCACATAAGATTAATGTCCTCTACAGACAAATGTGTGAGTTTTTTTTAAATCATGATTGACGAGGGTGATAGATCGATTATGATAGGTGACCCAGACAAAAGGGGGATGAGCCTCATTATTAAGGATTAATGCGCCCTCCCAAAGATCGAAATGGGCAAAGGTCTGAAAATCGTGCCCCTATCGACGACTACAAAAGAGGGGCAATGTTCTTACACGTATGTTATTGGCAAGTTATGGTTTTGGATGAGTCAACAATGTAATACTTACATATCGTTACTTCCGCTATCAACATTGGAATGCGTATGTCTGGAAATTGCCGGTCATTGTGAGTCTCATATCTCGTCAGAACATCCATTCGCCACCGTTTCAATCTTGAGGTCAGTCTTCTTCACACCTCTCTTAGTTATTTACCACTATGCAACATATTAAACTTAGTGTCAGATGAAGCTACTGCATCAGACTCGACGAGACAATGCCAGCTACCGGAGCGTGGTCGGTCCTGTTCATGGCGTGACCTGCGCGGCTGCTGCTCTCACAATCATCGTAGCACGTGCAGCTGAAGTGCTTGCCCTCCTACTCGAGGCAACACGACAGTCTCCTACTCACCTGCCATTTTCCCCTTCCATTGTGCTGTCACTCGCACACGCACACGCACACGCACAAATCAATCAGCCACCCGCCCTCTGTTCGGCCAGCTTGAGAAAGGAACGATCATAATAATATAACGTTGCAAAGTCTAAGGAGAAGACTCGACTTGATGACATGTGACACTGACCCTAAGTTTACTGCTTTAGAGGTGTACGGTCACACGTAGCTGCTTGTCTCTTCTCCTATTTCCATCCCAGAAAGTGATGCAAATGACCCCCGATGACCCTTTCCATCCCTCTCGAAAACCGCACCCATACAAGTCTCGACGAGATCCAAAATCGAACGCACTACCTCCCATCGATCTATCTCATTGGAATATATATATGTTATATTCATCGAGTCATAGTAGAAATAGTAAGTCGATCCAAATGACAGCGAGCTGTCAGTGCCACCTACAGCAAACATCAGATTAATGGCCATGGAGTCGAGGTAGGGGTTTGCTACTCGTGAGAAGGGCCCGAACGACGAGGCCAGCTGCCGCTGGTCCAGAGGCAGTTGGTTGCCTCCGGGACCGCGGCCCTCCGCGCCGGCACTGAATTGCTCCGCGACAGCACCAGCGGCCGCCGCGACTCCGACCCCCCGTCCTCCTCTGTTCCCGGTACCGCCTCCGCTTCCTGCACCAGCTCCTCTCCGCCGCTCGACCTCCGCTCTTCTTGCCGCTGCTGCTGTTGCGTTTTGCCTTGCCTGACATCATCCGGCAACGCCGGATCCGGGAGCGAGGACACCTCGAATCGAGCGATGGAGAGCGAAGAAGCCCGGTTGTGCGGCGCCGATCGGCATCTCATCAGCAACAGTGCGTTCTTTGGCGGCGTCGCTATCGCTGACGGCACGGAAACCCTAGTATCGTCTTCTTGCGCCGCCTCCTTTTGATCCTCGTTCTTGTAATCGATGTCCTCTTCTCCATCCGGTGCCTTTCCGGCTCCGACGAACTCCGGAGGCTGTGGTGGCGGCCAAAAAGGATCCGGCTTTTGCTGCCGGTACCCACTACTCCCGCCAGATCGGACGCCAGCCCATCGCCACCACAGCGACCGTCGGCCTCCCTCGCCGCTTCCGCCGCCCTTGGGCCTCCTCCGAGCGCCGAACAGGCCGCATAGAAGAAGCTTTTCCAGGCACCGGCGCGGGATCAAAAATGACTTACTTCTCATCTTCTTAGGCCGAGGCTTCTTCTTCCCCGAGCACTTGTTTCGCATCCTAACCTGGCCAATGCAGGTGACCGTGGGCGAGGAGGGCTCCCCTTCCCCCGACGCTGCCGCAGTAGCCGCCGAGGTCGAACGACCAACGCTCCTGCTCCGAGACACGAACAAGGGGCTGGAACGGGCGGCTGCCGACGAAGTGAGGCGGGCGCGTGTCCGGCTACCCCCGCCAACCTTGCATGAGAGCAAACGGGCAAAGCCTAGCGGCGACGGGAGCTTCTCCCTACCAGGGCTGGAGGCCACCATGACGCCTCCGGGCTTCATCATCTTCCCGGGCTTCGTGGAGGGAGACAGAGACCGTTCCCAACCCACCACCGTATTGCGTGGACGTGGCATTAGCTTCAAGGTTTGTGCGTCCTCTGCAGCCCCTTCTCTTTGTTTCTCCTTTAATTTATCGTAAATATTTTATATTTATTTATCTTTTACCAATCTCTCTCTCTCTCTCTCCCGTTGTACGTAAACATATATACACATGAAGGAGAGAGAGAGAGAGAGAGAGAGTAAGGCAAGAGATCAGAGTGAGGATTTTTTTTATGACTAACTTGTTTCGATATATATTGACCACATTAATTACCAGTGTCGGTCAGTAAAGCAGACTGGCTTTTACGTAACCCGGATCCATATCAGACGGTGGCTGTGCCACCCACGTGTCCTATAGATCTAGTTGATCTTGGTCAAGGAACCATAAAGGTTCCGTATGACCCGACGTAATCTTTTCACGTTGCTTCGTACCCGACACAGATTGGTCCATCCCCACGTGTCGGGAGTAATAATAGGCACGCTCGCCGCCTCCAAATCCAATTCGGATAATTACTTAAAAGAGTTAGATTGATTCCGTGATAAACTATTAGGGCTGATCTGATTTGCATAATGAGAGGAAGAGCTGGTAAAATTAGAAGGATATCAAAATATATTCCAAAATGAAATGTTGCCTTTATAGTAGTGTTGAGGTTCCGACGGTAAGATTGTTGGATGAGTGAAAGAATATTCTCCTGTTGAGTTAGATCGAGCTATAAATAAGTTTATTGATATCGTTTTCTTTCCTAGTAGTTTTAGATGGATATAATCTCTGATTTATTTGATAGCAGATTTAGGTGGATACCAATATCTAGAAAAGATTAAGATTGTATAATTATCATCTCCGAGAGGAAAGACTAAGAAAATTAGAATAATATAAAAGAAAAAATCCACTTAGAAAATTAGAAGGATATCAAAAATATAACCAACGAAATATCCAAAATAAGTATTTATTTTATAGTGTTGAAGTCCTAATGATAAAGTTGTATGGTAAGAATATTCAATTAATTCAAGTAGACAAACCAGGTAATCCAAGGCATTAGAAACTGGATATGTTGTCATCAACTGGATTCGAATGCAGTGGAATGGGACAGGCAAGATCTCCAAGCAAATCTAACAAAAGGCAAGAAAGGGGGTCCGCGTGGATTTGGCATCCATCTCGCCTCTCGAGTTATTTTATCTGATCACTAGAAACCATGGAGTGATGCTGCAGGGCAAAAAGTGGCTTTTAGAAGAATGGTACCAATGGATCTCTTAATAACATCTCGTCTCTCTCCATCTTCCTATTTGAACTTCATATCCATGAATGACACTGACCAATCTTGTTGCTCTACTTGTCCTATCCTCTCGGTAACATTTTTGGCCTGTCTTCTGAGCATTGCACAACTACATGGTTGAACCTCTCTCTACATTGGAATTCTCGGATTAATCAAATTTCATATTCTTTTTATGCAGGGATATCAATTATATTCGTTAGTGAGTACAAATATTCATAACGACCCACCCATAATAAGATAAAGATATTAAAAATAAAATAATATTTCATATTATTCATACAAATATGAGACGAGAATAGATAAAACACTCCGCATCCTATATCCATATTCAGTTCATTAATACGTAAGGTGAGATGACACATAAAATGGATCAAATTTTCGTTATTCAAATTAGGCTCGTTGAATCTCGATTAAAATGATTATGATTCGATTAAAAATTATTTGATTTAATTGAATAAAAAAAATAATCATAAGTGATATTGTATCGTGTGCATCCAATTCATAATCATAAGTGACATTGTAACATCTATTTGACTTTATCGATCCTCCTCTTCTCTCTATTGACAAACGATAATTCATCCGATGATTGACAACTGTGAATGACAAATAATGAACAATGATAGCGATTCATCGATATTCTTTTCTCTTCTTCCTCGTTATTTTCCCGTTGCATACTCCCTTCTCCCTTGACTGCAACATCCTTGCTCCCTCACTATGGTCGTTGTAGCCCCTCACCTCTTAATTACAATCGTCGTTATCTTTCGACTGTTGCAACCCACACTCCTTTCCCCGCGTCTTTTCCCGATCCTCCTTTAGAGTCACAGAGGTCATCTCACATATTTAAATAATATTTTACATTCAAGACAGAGGTCATCAATCAAAATGATATTTTGCATTTAGAGTGATATTACCCATTGTCACCTAAATTATCTAAGAACTCAAAGAAAATAAGATGATTTTCCTAAAAAGATTATCATTTTAGATTTGTTTTCTAAACAACACCGTTTTTGGTTTTTGAAAAAGTTATCGGACAAAGCGCATATTTTACGATTGCTAACGTGTTAACAGGTCGGATTCATGGCGGATCCGTGTAGAACCTTCCGTCCGATAAACTGATCTTTAAAATGAGATCCGTGTCCGAAATGTCATGTCGGATGCATGGATCCAGGATTCGGTATCTTATCAGAGAAAGCTTTTTCGGATCCAAAACGAGGATCCATACCCGAGATTTTGGGCTCGGGGTCTTCCAAGGAAAAGATTCGGATCTAAAGCGGTGACCCATCGAGGCCTCTTCTCCTCCCCCTCTGCTTCCGACCCCCGCGTCTCCTCGACGAGTTCAATACCTCGATCCCCCGCGTCCCTTTCGCCGCTGCATTGGCGGCCTTCACCGCCGCCACCACCTCCTCTGTCTCTTTGTTATTCTTTCGGCACGCCGTGTCGGGACCTCAAACGACGGTTTGTTGTACACCGACGTCGCCCGATCCACCGGACATGGTTTCGATGTCGCTTTATTCGGTTTACCCAAGAACTTGTTTCTTCTCTTCTTTCCTCTCCTTTCGTTACCCAAGAAATTAGCCCTCCCAAGAACAAGAACTCCCCTCCGTTATGTCGTATCTCTTCTTTCGTTTTGGAATTGGGGCTAATTTATGTTTTCTTGACATCTTGCCGCAGCTGGCTTCAAAGAATTGGGAACAACATGGTCTGATGACCTTCCTGCCCTAGTGCATGGCATTAGGAAGATCTGGTTGGTTCTATATCTTTCAGATGACTGTTGATGGTGAAGTGGTAATCGATCCCAGCATTGTTCTCAGGTAATTCTTCTTTGTCTTATAGTTTCGTTTTATTAATCTTGAAGATTATTCTATGATCATCAAGAAAGAGGACACCTTCGATAATTGGGAGGAATCGCTGGAGATCTTTTTTGTTCTTTAGCTTCGTGCATCGAACTTTCTGAAGACATATCTTAATTCTATCCCACAATGGATGGAATATTCTTTTTGCTAATTTACAATACGATGCCATGATTATATATATATATATATATATATATATATATATATATATATATATATATATATATATATATATATATATATATA